TGTATGTATATATTTATTTATCTATATATATATAATCTACATAATAATATCCACGTACACCGACTGATACAGACAATCGACTTGGCGATGTGAATGTAGGTCGCGCTGTAAGACCATTCGCATTGTTATATATACACGAACGCCACAGCAGCACCCACTGCACTGCACGCAACCACGCACGCACGCACGCACCACACACACTACAACCACACGACACACACACACACACACCACCACGCACACACACAACACACACGCATATATGATATATATATTATTATTATTATATATATAATTTCACATAATAATATGACGTACAGCACAATCGATGTGAACAAATGTTGTAAATGTAATGTGTCGCGCTGTAAGAGCATTCGCATTTGTCGGCGCGTCCGTCTGCAACCAAGTTTCGGCATAGCAAGGCACAGCACATTTTACGTCACTCACACAGCATTATATATGATTATAACTACATTATGTAACAATATTGAACATTGCAGGCATCGATATCATAGTCGACCACGATATCATATTGAGCATTTGATTTAGAGCTTATAGTCATCACCAAGGCATTAACATTGCATTATAACACATTATAAGAAGTTACAGGTATGCGACATCGCAGGTCATAGCATATCATATCGGCATCTTCATGTAATCACCAAGCATTAAGCATGATTATAACTACATTTATAAGGAAGTACAGAGGATGGACATCGCAGGCATAGATTATCATATGCGCATCTGCATGTAATCAGCGGCAAGCATTAAGCATGATTATAGACTTACTACTCATTACAAGTACAGTACACGGTAATGGACATCGCAGGCATAGATAATCATATCGGCGCATCTCATGTAATCACCAAGCATTACCATGCATTATAACTTAACTTACATTACAAGAAGTACAAGGTTACGACATCGCAGCATAGATATCGTATCTTATTTCAGCCGAACCAAGCATTAACATGATTAAACACATTACAAGAACGTACAGCTATGGACATCGCAGGCCATAGATATCGATATCTTATTTCACCAACAAGCATTGACATGATTAAAACTTTACATTACACAAGTATGGACATCCGCGCAGGTATACGATATCGGTATTTCTTACGTGTTGCCAGCGCCCGAAGCAAGTATTGACATGATTATCACATACATAGGAGTATGTGGCATTGCAGGAATCGCGCCGCTCGCAACGGAGACGTTGTCCAGAGCAAAGTGAGAAGCTAATTCTGCTAAAAATGTATATGGTGTTATCCGAAAGCTCCTTTATGAAGGACATGCGGCATCGGACCATGCTGGGCTGTCGTCGCTGAGAAACGGCGACGGGACACGCGCTCTACTGCTTCTCAATTTCACAACTATTTTCGCGCGTAATGTTATTATTAGCAATGCGCATACATCCGAGCGGAGATTTATACGGACTAAACTTTCCTTGTTGCTCTGCCCTACGGGCACT